AGTAGCAGCAGCGTTTTTGGTCATGTAATGATGCTTCCACACGGCAGTTAAAAAATCTGCACTAATATTATAAAGAGACAAGATTTGTATTTTCGTATTTGTCTATGTTTGTACCAAATAAACTCCAAAACTACCGGACCGATTTCGATATAATTTGGTAAGAAGATAGTTTGAGACCCTCGAAAGGATATAGGATATTTTTTATTCCGGAAATTATCCCTTAAGGGGGTGGAAATGGAGATGAAAGTTTGTATGAGGAATCAATCTAGGGATGAACCCGAACGAAGCGAGGGTGAGTCGCTAGTGTTACATAACACTTTTTAACGCGATTTTCCGATATTTTAATAGTTATACTGCTTATGGTTAAGACAAATCCAACAAAACAAAGATCATAAAAATCGGCCCAGCAAGTCTCGAGTTATAAGTGTTGTAACAAAACCGACTTTATTTTTTTACATATAGATGACATAATGCTTTACTTTTTTTTAAACTTAATTTTATCAAAGGCTTAGTCACTAGATTATTATGCCACCAATAAGGATAAAAATTCGCTTCTTTATCTACTACGTAGATACAGGAAATTGTGGTTTCCGTTCATGGTTTTTAGTCCATGATGTTAGATGTGTGAACCATACATTTTGTTGTTACAATATAAAAATACTAAATGCATTGCGATATTGATATATAAAAACATAAATATACACTAGCATTGCCCGCGGCTCCGCCCGCGTTCAGATGATCAAAACCAGTTTCTTAGGTTTTACATATTAGTATACACTTACAATGCAGTTTTTGTATTTTTTCTCAGAAATGAGATATTTTCCCGCGGTAAAAAGTATCCTATATGTTGACCCGGATAACCAGCTATTATCATACCGAATTTCATCAAAATCCCTCCAGTGGTTTTTCCATGATACGGTAACAGACAGACAGACAAAAATTCTAAAAACTATAGATTCGGACTCTGTATCGATAATAATGTCTATTTCAATAAGATTTTCCAAAAAATATTTAATGTACAGATTCGACTTAGTTACAATATTATTATAGGTATGTATAGATTTCCTAGCAAATATCTCTTCAAAAAGTGTCATCGACATGTGACGTTAAGTCAAACTAAAGAATAACACTCAGAAATCGCGAGTTCTTATTGTCTAAACACAAATTCGAACTTACACACGCCACATAAAGTAGGTACTTTTTTAAACGAAACAACGTGCGTCTTTATTTAGTCATCTGAAAAGCAATGAACAAAAGAGATTTGATAAAAGCGCACAATTTCGAATCGTGTTTTTCCTTTTGAGGACACTTTTGAGACGCTATTGTGTATCTTGAATTTTATATATATATATATATATATATATATATATATATATATATATATATAAAATTCAAGATAGGCAGTGGTAGCCCAGTGGTAACGCGCTCGCTTGGGAAACCGAGTGAAGCGAGTTCAAATCTCGGGTCTCGCACCTCTGATATTTTCGTGTGCGAATCATTTCCAACAGTGGACTATGGCCTGATTCCCCTCGTACTGAAGGGAGGCCCGTGCCCAGCAGTGGGACGTTAAAAAGGGCTGAATACACACACACACACACACATATATATATATCAATGATTTGCGATTGTATAAAACGAATTTAAACAAATGCAATTTACACATATCTTTTATTCATTTTTGTCATTTAGCTTTCTTCTGTGCTATCTTCGCTAACTTTGAATCGATTTTTATAATTTTTTTTCAATGAATACTTAGGGCCATGAGAGCAAGGACCCTAAACGGGATGGAAGGTTTATGGCCACCATCACGCTGGCCAAGTCTTCACATGACTTACGAAAACTAATTATGTTCTCTGCGAAGGTGTCCTTCATTGTATTAGAAAATGGTTGTCATGCTGAAAATAAATAAATAATAAATATGTTGGGACATTAACACACAGCACCATCTAGTTCCATGGTAAGCTATGATTCTTGTGCTATGGATACCACATAGTTGATACACTACACATGTATAACTTTTAATAAATGTGGTGTTTATACACCCATGACTGGAGTACAAACATTCGTGCTCATCACACAAATGAGTGCCCCCAGCGGGACTTGAACCCGCGACCTCTGGCGTAGCAAGTAGGGTCACTACAAACTGATCCAAATGTGTCGTCAAACGACGAAATGATTCACAATAAAAATCACGCAAATGTAAAATTTGGGGTTTGAACCCCATGACTTTGCCCACACGGGCTGCGCCAAATATATCATTTATTGATGCATTAAAACGTATTTTAATGGAAAAATATATTTCACACGTCTTGGACCAGAGCCACATGCAAACGGCCTTTATGTCAAACGAAAGGCATATGAGAAGAGCGCAGTAAACTTACAGACTTGCGTGTACCAGATCACGATGACAGATATGTCGTTTTCCACATTTTTGGCATCAAAATTTTGTTTTATTATTGCATTTTTGTCATAGCTTACTAGCTATGTGTCGTGACTTTGCTGAGCTCAAAACATCTCGTATTTTACCGACTAATTTGCCGACTATACTTGAAACGAAATGCTATAGAAATAAGGGATTTCAGTTGTTCCCGAATTCCCCATTTTTCAGGAAATCTTTTCCAATTTCTTCAAATTACCATAAAAAGTTAATGTAAAATATTAACATGATAAAATAACGTTAGTATGTTTGTAATACACATATGTATTATGTATTTTTATATTTTATATCTTACTAGCAGTACCCGCGGCTTCGCATTGAAACTTCCAATCGCTCCCAAACTTCGCTGGGCTAATCTGAAGATTGTCCGAAAACTTCATCAAAATCGCTCCAGCCATAATGGAGTCCGTAGGGAATATACATACGTACATTGATTTATCTTTAAACAATAAAAACAAATCACGAATAATAAAAATAACTCTGTACATTACATCTTTTTTGGAAAATCTTATTGAAATAGTCATTATTATCGATACAGAGGCCGAATCTATAGTTTTTAGATTTTTTTGTATGTCTGTGTGGGAATGCATCACGAGAAAACTACTGGACGGATTTTGATGAAATTTGGTATGATGATAGCTGATTATTCGAGTCATCATATAGGATACTTATTACTGCGGGAAAATGTCTCATCTCTGAGAAATCTATACTAAACGTCTAAACGTAACCCGGGACGAACCCAAGCGGAGCGAGGGTCAGTCGCTAATAATTTAATATTTCTAAGGTATTCTACTCTGTATCTATAAGTCATATAGTTATGCCCACATAGCCCACTTTTTCAAAGCGATAATGTTACAAATAGTTCATGAATTGTATTCAAATCGCTCAAACATTGTTGCATGCTAGAAACTGGCGTAAATCACATATAAATCTCGATAAATACAGCTAACATCGTAGTAACGAGTGTATCGGCCACGTGTATCAACGTCACAATCAATCTAAACATGTGCGAGCGGTGACGATCAATGATAGATAAATATAGCATTTAATACGTTCTATATTACGGTGGGTAACAGGTTCGAGTTTGGCGTTTTGTTCAAACTTAATAATCTATAGATACAGATAAATCGCCAGATACGCTGCACGGATCTGAACGAAACTTTGCACAGATATAGGTTATGGTCTGGATAAGCACATGGGCTACTTTATACCCCGGAAAAATGTACGGATCCCGTGGGGTATATTTGTTTTTGTTATTCCAGAGCGCTAGTATAATTATAGTTTTTAACAAAATCAAAAACCATTGAAGAGTTCTATTTTATTCATCTCCTGGCTCAAAAATCAATTCTCTTGTAAATTAATTTTAAAACGCCGAAAACTCAAACAAACCATCCCTTAACATAAGCTATGTCTTTATATTTACCTAAAAGATTAAAACGAAATACTTGTTCTTACAATTTATACACTTGTACACGTACAGTAGAATAATTTAGTAGAAATTGTTACATATTTAAACTGACGGAAGTAAAATAATCTCTGAGTATTGATTTAGATTCTAGTATATTCCTAAACTTAAATAAAAAAAAAAGATATGACCAAAGAGCATTTTAGGTTAATATCTTATCGCGTGGCATTACACTAAGCGAACCTATATTTACGGTAATCTATGCCACATTTCGTATTTAAAAAATAAAAGGTGATAAAACAGCTATAAAGATTAATTACATATTATATCTGTCAAATCTGTGATCTATCTGTGGACGGTGTGACTTAAAGGCCAAGTACGCTGGTCAATGAACGTTCTGAGTCTTGTTTTAAATATTTCTTCGCACTTCGCAGTATTTCGTTGAGCGTCGCACAGTACGCACGTGTGCGGCGTGACGGGACGTAAACAAAGAGTTTTATCTGTACGACGCGGGAAAACGCATTTGACAGTTATTTTTTTTTTTTTTAAAGTCGCCATTTGATAGTGTAAATTTTAGGGATTTTAACTTTTTGTCGTAACTACAATTTTACGTGAGTTAGCCTAATTAGCAATATGTCAAATGTTAATTATATTCGTACTATAATTAATTCTGTTCGTTTGTTTCGTATTTAAATATATGTAAATAGTGTACGCGCGTTTTTATGTTTAGTTGTTATTTAGTTAGTTTTACGTTTGTACGTTTTTTTGTCGATTGCTTTCTTATCGCCTTTGTTTAAGACTGCCGTTTTAATGTTAAATTATTTCACCGTTTAGGATTTCCCGTTCTAGTGGACTTATTGGCGTAAAGCCAAAAAAAGTGAACAATTATCCTAGTGACTCAGTGAAAATGTGTCTGAGCAAGATGGAACTTAATTTTTACCAACAAATTGCACGAAATTCGTGACAGTGCGTCAAAATGTCACCTGACAAACGTAAAAGGAGGATCAACGAAAACAACAACAATAAACACCAAACAAGGACTTGACTTTAGCCCAGTGATAAAAATAAAATTATATTAGAAACCTTATTTGGTTATGATCTCATTATTTTAGTGCTCAACCCTTTTAAAGACTGAATAAAATAGTTCGAAACGTAAAAATGATCGCCTTGAAGAAACTTTACGGGGACGAACTTCTCCGCCTAGCTTTAGTCCTTAGCCTTTTAAAAGCAAATCCAGAAGAATACCTCGAGCTGGAGACACATCAGCTAGCTGGTCTCCATATATCCAATGGATCTGACTGGTCCTTGGAACATGAAGCCCGGACCTTGATCAGACCAAGGCATGTCCATCCAAAGTCGTTGGACCACATATTGGTCAACTACGAAAGACAACTTTTCGAAGAGCTTAACTCTCTTGGTCGTTATAATTACTTGGAAAACAATGAACGGATATGGTATAATCAGGGTTCGATTCATACATATTTACTAAATAATGTAGCGACGGACACAGTCGCGCCCGGGTTGTCCCAGGAGACGGTCCACGATGAAACTGTCCAGGACAACGTTTCATCGGACGACAATGTAGCTCAGGAGGTGAAGGTTGAAGAAGACAACCAGGACCAACCAGATGTTGTAGTGACGTTGTCCGCGGATTTCCTACAAAATCATACGGAGTCGGATATATTCGCGGAAATATCTAGTCGATCCTTCGATGTGAACGAATTTCTGTTACCGAACGAGATGCAGATTAAAAAGGAGCCAGACTCTGAAGAAGACTTGATTGTGAACGTGAAGCAGGAAAGAGATGATGATCTATACAGCGATAATGCGATTGATGACTATGTACCATATTTTTCGGCGAAATCCGGAAAATTGGAACTTGGTGAACCAAATTCAGTGTTTCATCAGAATCTAGCAGATCTTCAGGATTATGAAGAATTGTTTGATGATGTGAAGGAACTCAAAAATGATTTGGAGTTTCTGGATGTTAAACAACAGCAAGAGAACCTGGAACAGTACCTTCTGGAAAACACACCTCTGGATAGTGAAGTGTACGAATTGGCGCCAATGTTTGAAGAGGAGTTTGTGGTGGGTGTAAAGAGGGAAAGAGCTAGCACTAGTTTCACTTCCGCGAGCTCTAGCGGAGTGAGCGAGATGGATATATCGTCTGACAAGGACGTGCCTGATGTGAAGTTGGAGCCTGATGAAGGGAACCACAGCGGTGATGAACTGACTCAAGAGGTTAGTGTTTAGATATATTTTTGCACGATTTCTAATCTAATGCACGCGACTAGACGCTGATAGCAAATTTCAAAGGTCACTGTATTATTTATATCGCGAATTTGATAAGCAAAAGTTTTATTTATGCGTGAGATTTGACAGTTCTATAGTCTATATACATATGAACTACAACAACTTGTAAGAAATTCAACGTTCTATCCAGGCTAATATTGTAGAAATATATATATATATATATATATATATATATATATATATATATATATATATATATATATATATATATATATATATAATTCAATTTTGATGTATGTATGTCCTTGTGTTTCACCCACTGACCTTAGTAACCTTGGGTTATTGAATATGCGTACAATAAGTTACGCTGTAATAATTTTTCCATTAACGAAATATAGTCGTTTATCTATATATACAATAAAATTCTAAACTGAGTCAAACCTGTACGTTAAATATTGTTAAGACAATCTTATTGAAATAGTCATTATTGATACGAGGCCGAATCTTTATTTTTTAGAATTTTTATCTGTCTGTCTGTCTTTCTTTCTGGGAACGCATCACGAGAAAATCACTGTACAGATTTTGAGGAATTTTGATATGATGATAGCTGGTTATCCGAGTCAACATATAGGATACTTTTTATTGCGGGAAAACATCTCATCTCTTGAGAAATCTGTACTAACCGTATCTAGTAGGGACGAACCCGAGCGGAGTGAGGGTGAGTCGCTAGTAAGCTATATAACTGTAAAGTTTCATCAAAATCCGTACAGCAGTTTTAGCGTAATAAATATCCATACATCCATTTTCATCTTCCATCCATTTTTACAAATTTACACTTTCAAACATTTATTTAAAACTAATTTTTGGCCGCGTCTTCGTTTGCGTGACAAGCAGGGCGGAGTTCAATGGTTTCTAAGTTTGATCCCAGTATGTAATCTATGTCCTTGTCAAATTTTATCGAAATCTGTTTAGCGGTTTAAGCGTGAAAAGGTAACAGGCAGAGTTTTTTACTACTTACATCTATATAGATAAATAAAATTGCGAGAAAACGCTAGTTGCCTTGCATAATAATTTACAATTCTTCAGTATACTTAAATGCTTTACTTAAGTCTTACATTTATTTACAATCAAATTTACAATTGATAAAAGTCAGGTGAATGAACTCTGATAAAACGAAAGTATGAGTTGTTATTAGTCATAAACGTGTATGTATGTATCAATTTACACCTATAAAAATGTTTATTACTCACTAACGAAATATACTCGCTTCGTTCGGGTGCATCTCTAGGTTTTGAGCGAATTTTTCTTCTTCTATAATACAAGTAGCCTAAGTTGCTTCTTATAACATCAGCTATCTGCCAGTGAGAGTCCCGTCAAAATCGGTTCAGTCGTTTCGGAGATTAGCCGGAACAAACAGACAGACGAAAGTTTTAAAATTTGTGTTTTTCTTATAAGTAAAATATAGGTACCTACCGTATTTACGAGTATATCTTACTTATATTATAAATGTGAAAGTTTAGATGTTTTGGATATTTGGATTTACGTTTGTTACTCAATCGCGCCAGAACGACTTTTTTTTATTCTATTAATATTTGTATTTTTTAATATTTTAAATTATTATTGTTTGGCTTCATCTTTAGTTCTATGACACTGTCTATATTATTCCATAGTTTGAGTGGCTACTCGTTAGTATACAAACTAATATTATGTCATAAATAATGTCTGTTGCGCTGTCACACCTAAACCGCTGGATTAATTTTGATGAATTTTGGTACAGTAATAGATGGGACCTTGGAGAAAGATATAGGTTTTTTTATCGTGAAAATTAAACTTGAAGAGGGTGAAACAGAGGTTGAAATTTTATATAGGGAACCAACTATTTACTACTATAGGCTCACCTACGCTTCGCTTGGGTTCGCCCCTAGAAAAACAAAAACAAACCTATCCCACGGGAACCGTACATTTTCCCGGGATAAAAAGCAGTCTATGCGTTATTCCAGACCCAGTCCAGATCCGTTCAACCCTTCTGGCGTGATTGAGTAACAAACATCCATACTCACAAACTTTCACATTTTATAATATTACTACGGATTTTTTTCTATTTAAAACGTACATAGTAACGTACTCGAGCGAAGCGGGTATAAGTCACTAGTATTGATATGATATTTTATAACATTGTGGTTGAGTTTGTATGAAATTGACCCCGTTTCTATGTAGGGAACGACCTCCTTCTGCCATGAGTCATAGTACTCGGCAAGATAGGCTAGGACTTGAAAGTGAAGTAAATATATAGTGATATTTACCTTGCGGCACACCTGTCGAATTAATAATATAACTAAATGTAGAAATATATTATACATCTGTACAAATAAATAAGAAATGTACATTTGTAATGTCAAAATAACAGATTTTTATTGAATGCATATTAAATTATATGTATATGGTACTTATAAGAAAAACACAATGTTGATAATGTTTGTCTGTTTGTTCGGGCTAATCTCCAAAACGTCAGGACTGATTTTGATAGGACTTTTACTAAGCAGATAGCTGAGCATCTTAGGGGGGTACTTTAAGTTTAGAAAAAGAGTTAGGGTTCCGCTTAAAACAATACCTAGGGACGAACCCAAGCGAAGCGAGAGTGAGTCGGTAGTCTACATATCACTATCACTACATACTCGTAGTATAAAACAAAGTCGCTTTCTCTGTCCCTATATCCCTATGTAAGCTTAAATCTTTGAAACTACCCAACGGATTTTGATGCGGGTTTTTTTAATAGATAGAGTGATTCAAGAGGAAGGTTTTAGTATATAATTTGTTAAGCTTTTGTATACATTGGCTAAAATATAACGATATTTGTTGGAGGTGTCGGAAAAAATAAGACGTCTGGGAGCTTTCAACAAAAACGCTGCCTAAACCTTTTGAGATATAACAAAATAATGTATGGTGGAATTGTGTATCTTTATATCCATTTTAATTTAAAACGTACACAGGGACGAACCCGAGCGAAGCGAGGTTGAGTCGCTAGTGTATTATATGTAAATGAAAGTCCCCCGCGCTGAGTTTGTTTGTTTGAGTTAATCTCATAAATTTCTGTACGCACGGATTTTCATACGGTTTTCAACAATAGCAAGAGGGTTTATCTAGGAAGATTATAGGCTACAATATGTAATAGTAGGGGAGCCCAAGAGGGGATTTTCTGTAGTTACTCGAGCGCGGCAGATTAACATAAAAGAGGTTACCTTGCACTCTATTGAGTACTTTCACCACAATATAAGTCTTCTATATAAAGGGGCGCGTCTAGGGAAGCCGATAAAATATTTAAAAAATGTTTTGATAAGGTAAAAATACTTGAAACCGTCAGATTAAGGTGTGGTAGGCTAGTCACATCCTGAAAAGTGTCCAATTCAATATAAATCGACTATAAAGTTTATGATGATTTTTGCCTCTTAGGCTTGTGCAAATCGGCAGATTATTGAATTGGACACTTTTCAGGATGTGACTAGCCTACCACACCTTAATCTGACGGTTTCAAGTATTTCTACCTTATCAAAACATTTTTTAAATATTTTAATCGGCTTCCCTAGACGTTCCCCTTTATATAGAAGACTTATATTATGGTGAAAGTACTCAATAGAGTGCAAGGTAACCTCTTTTATGTTAATCTGCCGCGCTCGAGTAACTACAGAAAATCCCCTCTTGGGCTCCCCTACTATAAGCATTTTTTAATTATATAATATTTTTAATAAGTTAGAAAAAAAAACCTTTCTAAGAACTTTTGTAATATTGTGAACTAGTTAGTAAAAACATAGATAGAAAACTTATATCGAAACCCTAACTGTTCGATCTTAAATAAAATAACTGATTTATTAATAATGTAAAAGCTACTAAAGGATGTGAAGGACCTCGGGTCTAAGAAATTTGAAGTCTGTACAGAAACTGAGGTCAAAAGGAGGCTAGACCGTTGACTGTCTGGCCTAGACGGTCTACCAAATATTAGAGGTCTAGAAAGTCGAATCAATAATTATATGATAACAACTTACTCTGGTTTTGTTTAGGTGGAATGGAAATATATGTACTTATATGTACATGCATCTATACTATAATATTATAAAGAGGTAATGTTTGTGAGGTTGTAGGGAGGTAATCTCTGGATCTACTGAACCGATTTGGTAAGAAGATAGTTTAAGATCCTGGGAAGGACATAGGATACTTTTTATCCCGGAAATCATCCCTTAAGAGGGATTGGAGGGGAGGGGATGGGGATAACAGTTTGTATTAGGAAGTAAGCTAGTGTCAAATAAAATTGAAGTTGGTATCTGTTTATAATATCAAAATAACCGCTTTTTACTAAATTTATATGAAGTTATATACGGTACTTGAAGAAAAACACATTTTTTATAAATTTTGTCTATCTGTTCCGGCTAATCTCCGAAACGGTTGGACTGATATTGACGAGACTTTCACTGGCTGATAGTTGATTCTCTAAGGAGTAACATAGGCTACTCTTATTTTTGAAAAAGAATTAGGGTTCCGCATAAAAAAAAACAAACGTACCGTACATAGTTATTTGTAAAGTGCGCGCTATACCTAAGTCAGTTTCATCTATATGGGCTTAGGATTGTGATGCATACTACACATATCGATGTACTATAGATATCGATTTTCTCGAGGGTTTCCGTGGGTGCTTTTTGTGTTTATTATTAAGCTGTACATACATACAGCCAGCGCCATCTTGTATTTAATTTTATTGCTTATATGTATATATGTTTGTTTGATGACGCTAATCTCTGGAACTACTAGTCTGATTTATTAAATTCTTTTAGCATTTTATTACCTACTAGCGCTACCCGCTACTTTACCCGCTTTCAAGCTTCTAATCGCTACCAAACTTCGCAGAATCACCCACTGGTCTAATGTGAAAATTACCTGAAAATTACATCAAAATCGCTCCAGCCGTTTTGAAATCCATAGGAAACATGCATACACAC